ATTGATTATTGTATATTTGAACTGAATACTTTGTGCATGATATCAAATGATTTGATTATGAATTTGGATTCAATTTATATGGATGTTCGACGCATTAGATATGCTTACTCAGCTTCACCGCTGAGCGTGTAGTATGTTTTATTTGCTACACGCAGGTTAATAGAAAGAATGATGTGACGTGATTCTGGAGGCAGACGGAGGCGAGATTGTCGGAATGGATGTGATGGTTTTGAATTAAAGAACATAAACAAATTATGTTTGTAATTATGATTTGTTAAGCTTCCGCAATATTGAAAACTCCGCACTGTATATGTTACGAAAAATATTATTGTGATAAATAAAAGTGTTTGAAAAGTTTTAAATTTTACGATTACCAAGTTAATACTTTAGTCTGAAAGGGGCTGCGGACCTGGACGGATTAGGGTGTTTTATTATCTCTATGAGACTTATCCAGATTTTGATATTGGATGTCAAAACACCTTTCATATCAGCCCAAAGCCCAACAATAATTTATTTTAATCAAAACAAATTTGATTACTTGATTGTTTATTCATTAATAATTCTAGGGTATGTTTTGGGGCGTTACATTTCTCCCCCCTTAAAAGAATTTCGTCCTCGAAATTCTTCTAAGGTCCACAATGAACATCTTGTTGTATTCATATCTAATCATGATTGCGTCATGTCCACAGGGTTACGTCTCATAGATACGCATTCTCAAATCGTTGATGTCACCAAACTCGTTCAATCTTCGAAAGATTAACAATTTTCAATTAAGCAAGGTCTTCACTGATCCTTTGATGACAAAAGTTCCTTCATAGTGTATACTATTGCATACTTGACATATTTGTACATAACTTCATTCAATCAAGAGTCTCGTTTGTACATCATCAAAAACGATTCAAAATTTCTTCAATACCTTTTGTAGAAGGGTCACGATAGGCATAGTTGGAAACTTGGAGGTAATTTCAATTCATACGTCGTAACGTAATCTTTTATGTTTTTCAAGGGGTCGTTGTCTTAGGCATTAACCAATTTGACTTTTCGTCTCAGATTTGAATGTACTTCAGGATAGTGAATCTAACTGTTCATGAATCTCAATATGTCATATCGTCAGTAGACTCCGGTATGAGCGAGTACGTCGTTGTCAGTAGGAAATTCGAATCCATCCTTGCTGTACAAATTTCGACTGAGGATAACTAACCCTTTTCAAAGGTCAGGTTTTCAGATCCTATATATATCACGATTGTGGCAAGAGTATCTCACATTCTCAAATTATGGAAGGAACTTCTCGAACTTTTCCTTACACCATAAAATTCATTGGTCTACTTGGTAGTCATGCTCTTGGTA